GATAACAGTGGGTGGCGTGAAATGAAATGAGAGTGATCTGTTGGTGACTGCACGGCGCCTCGCATCCACCACCGCTCGTGATGCAAATCCAATCTCGCAGAAGAGTAACGGTGCGTGGCATCTGGCAACGTCGTCTAAACGACGCAGCCCCGTTTAAAGCTCTCGTGACTGCAGGGATTCATCTTCTTAGGTTCTTTCGGTAAAGTCACGTAGAAGGGAAATATTAAAATAGTACTAATCACATATCTGCATTTCCCATAAATATGCTAAATTCTTCTTGATATGCAAATTATTTTGTCAAGGCGCCCTTCCCCCCTTCCAACCCAGCTTAAATATACGCTCCAAGCGTGGTGGTGTTTCATTCAGACGCTGTCTCCCCGACAGACCTGGTCTTCACCTGAGGACGGCTGCTTGCGTTGTGGCCGAAACGTCGTGAGAATTATTTTATTATGTTTTTTTTTATTATTTTATTATTTCCCTTCTACGTGACTTTACCGAAAGAACCAAGAAGATGACGCAGCCCCGGTCGCGAAGCCTGCAATACTAACCCTTGCTTCAGTGATTTGAGGAATCCCAAACGTGTGATTGATCGTAGAACCCGGGTTACGCCCGCAAGGAAGGCGACGCCGCGTGGCGGGATGAACGAGTGAGAATGTGCGCCAACCCTCACTCCGCACGTGCCGGCAAAAGCACTTTAGGGGCAGTCCATAAATGACGTCACGCGATTTTGGACGATTTTTGACCCCCCCCCCCTCCTCGTCACACGGCGTCACAAAAAGTCAGACCCCCCCCCTCTCAAATATGACGTCACAAAGCTCTACCCCACCCCCCCCCCAAAAATAAAACATGCTTCAAATCGCTTTAAACTATTGTCATTGCAGTGCGTATTTAATGTGCCGCTGCATTCTGATGTTTTAGGAGAAAACATTTATCAACACGTCTATTTAATTAAGTAGAACGTGTTGTCTATATTTATTTAAAGTTGCGCATTTTGATGTGACGTCACATTTCTCAAACCCCCCTCCCCCCCCTCGTCACACATCGTCACAAATGTCTGACCCCCCCCCCCCCCCCCAGGTGCATGACGTCATTTATGGACGGCCCCTTATAACAAAAGTACTTTATTCTGCTTTATTCTAAACCACCCTCTTGCCCCCCCCCCCCCCTCTCGTGGTCAACACAATGCCTTGTCCACAGCAGTCTGATTCTCTCACCTGAAATAGGTCGCTTGTGTTATGATCGAAACGTCGTGATCTAGTGTTTGTTTCTACCTACGTGACTTTACCGAAAGAACCCAAGAGTATGGATCGATTTGGTGTTTGAACATCAGAAAGGGTAAAAACCTACTCTTATTCTTCAGACTTTGATCCTGGCAACAACAACAATGTCCCGTGACATTTCCAATGCTCTTGCTAACAATGGCAGGAAAGGTGCCCTGGCGCTAGGAATATGGAACTGTGTGTGTGTGTTGGAGGTCTGTGTGTGTGTGTGACCGGTTAAGCGTGCACCTAGCCTGGCACAAAAGCCGTGGCGAATGGCGGTTGTTGTTGTTGGGTAAGCGTGGTGGCACAAAACGCGCGTTTTCCCTTTCGCCGCCACGACTTCTCCCCGTGGAGGGAAGTCGGATTAAATATTTATTTTTGTTCTGGAGCGGCTTTGGTGCCACTCCAAATACCACCCCGATCGGTCGAACTTCTCTGTGGCTCGCACGGCGTGCGGCGTGAGTCAACCTGGGGGTGGGGGGCTGCATCGCCCACGGCTGAGTCATTCGCCGGAAGAGAAAATCGTTGCCTTCGCTGGGGGACAGAGGGGGGAGGGAGACGCAGGGGAGTGTGGGTGCAAGGGATGCGTGACACATTTCACAGGCATGCCATGTTGGTCACCGTGCCGTGGTTGGTGGTGGTGATGGTGGTTGGTGGTGGTTGGTGGTGGTGACCCTCCTTCTCTTCATTAACTCATCACATCACAATGTCGACCGGCATCGCGTACAACGATAAAGACCCCCCGTGTAGCCTGTAACAGACTGTTGGGGCAAGTGCTGTTAGCGAGTAGCACCTGTGATGGTAGGCACGGCACACGAGGTGCTGGGTGGCCAGCACCACGCCCGGCCGACCGTATTACAGTCGCAACAAACAAAGATTCAGGCCCGCAATCGCTTGCTCTTGCCACTGCTCTGGTTAGTAAGTGTTCTTTTCTAATTGCTTATGCCTCAAAAGTATAGCAAATGGCTATTATTCCCCACAAACTTTGCTTTTGTGACCAGGAATTTATGTGAAGGAATGACACAAATGCACACGTTTTCTAATTGAAAATAGATACATTTCAAAATATCAACGTCCTGGTCACAAAAGCAAAGTTTTGTGGGGATTAATAGACATTTTCTATACTCTTGAGGCATACGCAATTAGAAAAGAACACTTACTACCCAGGAACAAAAATCGTGTTACATACTGTAGTGAATTATCAGTGGCAGTGTCACTGCCCTCCAGCCTGGTCCAGCAGCTGGGACTGCTGCCCCTATCACTGATCCACTCAGGGGCAGTATCACAGTTATCATCAATGATCTCTAAATGGCAAGAAAACCCATCATCATCATCATAACAACAACGCGGGTAGCAAAGCCACAAGTTTCAAGCAGCGCTAATAAAAAAAACACATGGACAGAAATCACTCGGCCGAGTGAATTTTGCATGAACCATCAACAGTTCCTGAAGAACTGCATTGTGGACTCCTCGTGTCTGTAATGAACATAAAATAAACTTGAACAAAAGTCGGTCACACTTGATGACTTTTTATTCGACGGCGACTGACTAGAGGCACCACAATGCAGTTCTTCCTCTGCACATTTTTTTGCGTGCAATTTTCAAACGGTTCATCCCCCACGTAAGATCATCCCCAATTTATTTGTAAACAGAATTGTGAATTTTTAAAATATATATATATACTCGTGCGCATGGGAGGGGGGGGGGTTCTTGTTTCCAAAGATCACAGAACTCTGAGGATTCTTACCTGGTTTGAATTTTTTTGGCAAAGCTTCTTAGTACGCATAGCGATGGCATTGCTGCGCGCAAGCGCGTGTGATGCGGGTGACACAAACACACGTGCGGACACAAGCTGAGCAAGACAAGCACCCACTCGCACAAATATGCTCCTACAGCGATGAATGCACCTTCAAGTAAATTGGCAGACAATGCACGCCTCCTTCGCATAGCTGTTCGTCTACACGTACAAAAAGAGAATAATCCCGTCCATCAGCCTTCTATAGTATTATATTACTATAGTACTATATTACTATAGTACTATATTACTATAGTAATAGCCTTCTGGGAGCGCACGATTTCAGCGACATTTGGTTCGAAGCAATACAAATCTGGACCGGTTTCGACCTCCAGTGGCTCATCAGCAGGCACGCTTTTCTTGAACCAGTGCTGGTAAACATCAGCAAGTTTATAGGCAAGGACCCTCTGTTAGTTGTGGGTCCTAGTTATTGGCCCGAGTTATGGGTCAAACGTATGTATGGATTCATCATCGTCAGCGTCACCCGTGATCAATCAACTACGCTGGGAGACTGGAGGTGACTCACTATGGCTGTGGCTACTAATGCCATGCCTTCTACTCCAGTTTTACCATTGACTCGTAAAATAAATACGTCCAGTATTCTTCTCATTTATGGCTGTGGCTACAAGAGGTAAACTGGATGTGGCATGCCGAGCGCGGAAACATTATCCGGGTCACCGACCCAAATTAAGCCCCGAGTCTCATTATTTAAATGATTAGCGTCCAACTGCGAATCGTAGCGCAGTGCGCGCGCGTTGTGTCTCTGCCACCACACCCCACCAATAACAACACCTCGAATTCCATGCGGGCACCCACCCACCCACACGCACGCACGTAATGTGCATCCGCGGCGGTGGATGCCAGCCCAGCGTGATTCCACTTGCGTCACTGTGCCCAAGCCGGCCGGAGCTCCCCACTTCTCCAAAATGCCAGCGGCTATAAATAGCACGGAGCATGGCTCGCTCCAAGCTCGGGGCGTCTGTTCCACCCTCCGTGGCAGAGGCGCGCACACTCCGGCCAACACGCGCTATCAGCAGCATTCACAAAGGCCGCAGCCGCGTGATTTCCTGTGGAATTGCACTGATTTATTGATAGCGTTTCTCAATTCGTAATTTTTTCTTAGCTCAGGTTTATTATTTTGAAGGCTTATTTTTGAAGGGATGGGTTGGAGGGGGCGTTTTTTTTTTCTTGCTTACGACAGCGGTTCTCACACAGTGCGGGGCATGTAGCATATGGTATACATATGTAGCTACTTGTGCTACTTAGAATAATCCGGTAAAAAGGGGCCCTAAATAAAAACAAACTTAAATATTAAAACACATGAAAAATTTACTTGCATTGTAAAGTAATTTTATTTTTTCATCTGCTGTACAGCCAGATGACACGACAAATCGATAACCTCAAACACCCAGTCGTTCATCAACGTTGAAGGCGGTATAGTACTATAGTAATAGAGCAAGTGCAGAATCACTGAATAGGAATTAATAGCTTGAAAGCATTTAGCGCGGGGCCCTTGAAAGTGCGGCGCCCTGTAGCTACTACATATGTAGCTACTTGTGCAACTTAGGATAATCCGGCACTGTTTCTCACCCCGCGAAAGATTTCCTTTGGCCGCGGCACGAATACCGTGCGGGAGAAATTTCAAATGTCCGCGTGGGGAACGTCAGCGCGACGTTGCGGAGACGAAACGGGCTCGTGGGTCACGTTCAAAGACAACAACAACATGCCTCACTACTACAACACATGCACTGATATACAGACCCGTAATAGACTCGCATAGAGATCCCCAGACTTACACTGACTGCCTCCTTATCTTGTTTCCAACGCATCCTGCCATCTCGCCCTCGGTTTGGTGTCGTTGGCAATAAATAAATACGTGTAAAACTCCCTTTGCATTTTGGGATGTCTCTGCGGATATATTCAGTGGCAGAATGTTCGGCAGAATGGGGGAGCCAGGGAACTGGTGCCCCGGTGATTTAACAGAATTCTCGCTGTCGCCTCGTGAGGCTGGTTAACATTACCGGCGACACCTCGTACACGAATAGTAAACGTTGTGAGTGGATCAGTGATAGGGGCAGCAGTCCCAGCTACTGGGCCAGGCTGGAGGGCAGTGACACTGAGTGAATCAATGATAGGGGCAGCAGTCCCAGCTACTGGGCCAGGCTGGAGGGCAGTGACACTGAGTGGATCAGTGATCGGGGCAGCAGTCCCAGCTACTGGGCCAGGCTGGAGGGCAGTGACACTGAGTGGATCAGTGATCGGGGCAGCACTCCCAGCTACTGGACCAGGCTGGATGGCAGTGACACTGAGTGGATCAGTGATAGGGGCAGCAGTCCCAGCTACTGGACCAGGCTAGAGGGCAGTGACACTGAGTGGATCAGTGATAGGGGCAGCAGTCCCAGCTACTGGACCAGGCTGGATGGCAGTGACACTGAGTGGATCAGTGATAGGGGCAGCAGTCCCAGCTACTGGACCAGGCTGGATGGCAGAGACACTGAGTGGATCAGTGATAGGGGCAGCAGTCCCAGCTACTGGGCCAGGCTGGAGGGCAGTGACACTGAGTGGATCAGTGATCGGGGCAGCACTCCCAGCTACTGGACCAGGCTAGAGGGCAGTGACACTGAGTGGATCAGTGATAGGGGCAGCAGTCCCAGCTACTGGGCCAGGCTGGATGGCAGTGACACTGAGTGGATCAGTGATAGGGGCAGCAGTCCCATCTACTGGGCCAGGCTGGAGGGCAGTGACACTGAGTGGATCAGTGATCGGGGCAGCAGTCCCAGCTACTGGACCAGGCTGGATGGCAGTGACACTGAGTGGAACAGTGATAGGGGCAGCAGTCCCAGCTACTGGACCAGGCTGGATGGCAGTGACACTGAGTGGATCAGTGATCGGGGCAGCAGTCCCAGCTACTGGGCCAGGCTGGATGGCAGTGACACTGAGTGGATCAGTGATAGGGGCAGCAGTCCCAGCTACTGGGCCAGGCTGGAGGGCAGTGACACTGAGTGGATCAGTGATCGGGGCAGCAGTCCCAGCTACTGCGCCAGGCTAGAGAGCAGTGACACTGATTGGATCAGTGATAGGGGCAGCAGTCCCAGCTACTGGGCCAGGCTAGAGGGCAGTGACACTGAGTGGATCAGTGATCGGGGCAGCAGTCCCAGCTACTGGGCCAGGCTGGAGGGCAGTGACACTGAGTGGATCAGTGATCGGGGCAGCAGTCCCAGCTACTGGGCCAGGCTGGAGGGCAGTGACACTGAGTGGATCAGTGATAGGAGCAGCAGTCCCAGCTACTGGGCCAGGCTGGAGGGCAGTGACACTGAGTGGATCAGTGATCGGGGCAGCAGTCCCAGCTACTGGGCCAGGCTGGAGGGCAGTGACACTGAGTGGATCAGTGATAGGGGCAGCAGTTTTGGAGCACATCTGCTGAGGTGTGCCCCTAGGTAGTTCATGCAAAGTGTCTGTAGCAGGGCCAATTCCCGATTCGATGTAAAGAAGAGGGAATTCAACTATGTTTCAGAACGATAACATCCATAATAGAGGTATCTGGGTTAGATCACGTAAATACAAATGTGTCGTTAAACCCACTACCACCCGACACAGCCAATTTGTTAAGGTATGTCACGTAAGCTGAACATTCCAAAACATTCGAATTGTTTGCGTGACACACCTTACTAATTGGCTGTCGGGTGGTGGCGGGTTCAACGACACATTTATATTTACGCGATCTAACCCAAAAAACCTCTGTTACGGATAATATTTGGTCGCGAAAGCCTACTACCACCAGTACGTGTTAACCCTGAATCTCCCTCGTGGTGACAGCCAACTGATACACCAACTGATACAGCGCATTGGAGAGTTGGGGAGAGATGCAGTGATTATATGAGCACGTGTGCAGGTGTAGTAAGTATTCAGGAGGCTTTGACGACGGGGTCGGAGGCACACTTATTTATTAACACCAACTTGTGCACAGTAACGGGTACACACAGCACTTAAAGTGGTATCGTCCCCTTCACTCGTCTAACAGGGAGACACAACATCTAACCCCGCTAACCTACGCCTGAGTCTTCCACTACGGAGCTAGGGGAGGCTACCTATCCCAGCCCTGGTCAAGCTGGGATCCCGGCACCCTGAGTCTCCAGACCGGCTCTTATAAGAACGTCAGTCTGGGCTCTCGGGGCCACGCCACCGGCTTGCCCTGGTCGGCCCTGACAAGGACAGCGAGCCAGGGGAGCTCCGGGGCCTATTCTAGCTGGTCTTCACTCTTCGCTGGTTAAAGCTAACACTCGACCTCGAGCCCTCCGGCTCACCACCTTTTATAGCACTCGGCCCCCGGGAGGGGCCCGTGGGGGATGCAGGTGCGGACGTCGGTGTGAGCACCTCCTCTGTGTGCAGCCCTAACCACGCCCCTTGTGTTTGTTAGCCATCCGTGCCCATACACAATTACACCTCTACACAGGCGCCAGGTGAATGATTCAACATCGCCGGCCTGCGAGAGATGGCCACGGAGTGGAGTGGCCTTCGTCCAGCGGTGGATTGGCCGAGAGGCTGATGATGACGCTCATGATGATATAAATCGTTCATTTGCCGAACGCGTTTCCCTTTCGAAGCGGTCAACGCGTGGGTCGAAGGGGAGAGGTGTCGCAACTGGATTCCCGGAAATTGAACTTTGGGATGAGAAATCAACTCCGCCCTTGCACGGAGTACTCCGAAACAATCACGAAACCACCCCGCTTCCTATTTCCGTCAGCGTGGCCTACGAAGGGCGATAAAATAACGTTTGTGGGTTTGAATAGGTCATGGTGTGGGCGCTGAATTAATCGAAGCATTTGCATCGTCGTCATCATCAGCCACTGCTGTAATGAAGGCCTCCCCAAGACGCCACCATCCCTCATTCACACGGCGATGTAATCATCCACCGAAGAACCTCACGTGGAGGTGTTTCCATCGCTCCGTCTCCCCTGTGCACGTGCTCTCGGGACGCGTTTCAAACTTTGGCTGCCACTCCGTTACCACTCTTGACCCGTAGGTCATCCTGGGTCCCTTGTGCCCGTGACGCGCCCTGCCCAAGCTCCCCGCTTCACTTTTCTTCACAGTTCGGATGATGCCATTAACCCGACGCGTCTTCTCCCTTCCGTGCGCGACGCCTTTTCTCGCTTCTCCGTTTGAATCTCCAAGCAGACATCTCTCCGGCGGCTTCCGACGGTGGTTCGACCTTCGCCAGAAAGCGTCGACGTAGCTTCGGGCGCTCGGTTCGAGGCAGACGGCTGTCAACTTCGTGTACCGCCTAGCCCCGTCTTGATGGGCAGACTCCTGCAGCAAATGTCCCACTTCGGTTGGCGGCCGGTCGACGTTGCAAAGCGAGGACTGCGACCCGCGAACGAAGCGGTGCTTAACTTTACTGCAGCCACTTCTGGAAACAAAAGTCACAACCGCCGAGCAGCGAAGGTGAAAAGCTGAAACGAAGTAACGTGGAACGCTGAAACCACGACGATCAATGTGGCTTACGACAAAGGGCCTACGTGGCTCAGTGAGCCTTAGCTCGTGCAGTAATAAAATACAAGTGTAGTCACTACACTCTACGGCAGTGGGCCTTAACTTTCACTGCAGCCTTGCACCCGCTTGGTTCTAAATCGTTTTAAAAAATTATAATGTTACTAAATACATAGAGTACCATGAAACAAAGTAGTTGTAACTTACGTGCCCTTGATGAATTTGTGCTTTCGATTATTTATCTTAATTTAAATAATCAGGCCATGTCGCGCACCCCCCCCCCCCGCCCCAGAAAGGGCATCTCGCACATCCCAGGGGGTACAGCGTGCACCCCGGGTTCCACTGCTGGGTGATGTTTTTTCCACCTGAGAGACGACCGCTTGTGATTTATATTATTTCATACCCCACGTGACTTTACCGAAAGATCCAAAGAGTATGGATTCCTGCAGTCACGAGAGCTTCAAATCAAGAAAGAAGAAGAACCACCGCTCTAAAGAATGGGGCCACCTCCGTGGTCACCCACTTCCTGCCACTCCACGATCCGCGGATCAAACAAATCACTCGAGACAAGTGCTGAGTGGCAACCCAAGAGCAGCTGGATGCGAACGCTGTCCCAAGAAGGTCACCCAATGACGCGTTCGGGGCGCAAGGCGTCCGTCGTCGCTGAGCGCGCGTGACGAACGAATGGACCTGCTTCTTTGCTTGACACTTTTCAATTTTCTTGGTTCTTTCGGTAAAGTCACGTAGAATGGAAACAATAACAATAATAAAATAAAACATAATAAAATAATTCTCACGACGTTTCGGCCACAACGCAAACAGCCGTCTTCAGGTGAAGACCTGGTCTGTCGGGGAGACAGCGTCGTGAGAATCATTTTATAATGTTTTATTTTATTATTATTTTTGTTTCCATTCTACGTGACTTTACCGAAAGAACCAAGAAGATGAATCCCTGCAGTCACGAAAGCTTTAAATCAAACATTTTCAATTTCTGTTCTCGTTTTTGTTGTTGTTGTTGTTGCTTATTGCTGTGGCCGTGTTTTCTGAACGCACGTGGCTTAGTCGGCAGGACACGCTGTCTCATCGGCTTCTCTTTAGTCATCGTCAAGTCTCGCTTTCAACAGGCAGCTGTGACTTGCGTAATGAATTTTCGTTCACGATTGCTGTGTCGCAAACCCCGGTGGTACTTCCTCAGTCACCGTGACCTCTGGTCGAGTGAGACAATTCCCCTCCAGAAGGGCACACCACGCAGCTTGTCTTCGTGGCCGGCACACGTGCACACAGACGTCTATATAAACGGGCCTCCGTTCCGTGTCTCCGCGTATGGGGCCGTCCATAAATGAGGTCACGCGATTTTGGACAATTTTTGACCCCCCCCCCCCCCCCACCTCGTCACACGGCGTCACAAAAAGTCAGACCCCCCCCTCCCCTCAAATATGACGCCACAAAGCTCTTGTTTTACTGTAGTAGTACAGTAAAACAATTTTGCTGGGGTTGTCCCACCTAATGACAGAAGCTTGTGTTGCCTCCGAAACGTCGTGATTTAGTTATTTTAAATTTTATTTTCACCTACGTGACTTTACCGAAAGAACTCAAGAGTAACTATATATAGCTTATAATAATAATTTGAAGCCCTTTGTGAATCCACTGCCGGATGAAGCTATCATCTCCACACTTCACAGAGGCAATAATCTGTGTCGCCACATACAAAATGTATAAGTTACATTTCAGTCCGTCGGAGTCAGGGATTTTGAAGCAATGTTTTCCATCACTACTCATTTCAAATTCCCCAACGGTGTGGGCTGGTTTCGACTTCCAGAGTTTCATCAGCACAGTCAGGCCTGTTAAAACTAACGATGCTTGCTTGGTTCGGCCCATCATTATAGGCAAAAGCACTCCACCAAAAACAATCTACAAATAGGCTCCACGATGACCCGCCCAGGAGTTTTACTACAATAATTCAAGAACCCCCAAGTTGTCCAGTACTTAACTGCTGAAATTAAAAACTGAAAATACATTTGCGAATATGCAATTTGAATGGGAAAACATCAGTGATTATTTTTTCTATAATAGTTTTTTTTTTATATTGTAACGTAGTTGTGATACGGTATGCGTGAAAAGGTAAAGGTGCGGCCCTGAAATTGCTCGCTCGCTCCACTGCTGGCTGAAGTGCTGTTGTATATGTCGGGTTATGAAATTTTGATAAAAAATAATAAAAAAATAAAGAAAAAAATTAAAATAAAAAAATGCGTAAATCTTCTTGGTTCTTTCGGTAAAGTCACAGTAGAATGGAAATAATAATACACGGGCATAAGTAGTACTAATCACATACCTGCATTTCCCATATCCCCTCCCTTTGATGCTGCTAATCCTGCATAATGCACGGGCATAAGTCGTACTAATCACATACCTGCATTTCCCATAAATATGCTAAATTCCTCTTGATATGCAAATTTATTTGTCAAGGCGCTCTTCCCCCTCCAACCCAGCTTAAATATACACTGCCAAGCCTGGTGGTGTTCATTCAAACGCTGTCTTTCTGACAGACCTGTTCTTCACCTGAGGACGGCTGCTTGCGTTGTGGCCGAAACGTCGTGAGAATAATTTTATTATGTTTAATTTTTATTATTTTATTACTTCCCTTCTACGTGACTTTACCGAAATAACCAAAAAGATGAATCCCTGCAGTCACGAAAGCTTTAAATCGAAAATTAAAACAATTATTCTTGCTTAAACATTTATTGATTATATATCTCTTTATGGGGAGATGTTTTTTTCCACTAGAGGGGACTCTGGAAAGCCCCTCTCGAGAGGGCGCCGCAGCAGCGAGATGTTAACTACCTCGCCTGGTATACAGGAGGTCGTGGGTTCGATTCCGACTGTGGAGGTTTGCATGTTCTCCCCGTGGTCGCGTGGATTTTTCCTCCGGGTCCTCCGGGTTTTTCCTCCCACAATTAGAATGAACGTGCGTTTAGAGTATTTGGCTGCTAGAACATTTTATTTTACACGCTTTTATTTAACTCACTCTGTCTGTTGTTGTTGTTGTCGTATCCACAAATCTTGTAACTCATTTTAACCCACTTCCCAATGTGCTATCGATTGCGAACTTGGTATACTTAAGTCATACTGATGACAATACTATATTCTATCGTTAAAAATCAAAATTTAAACAATCTTTTTACACGCTTTCTATTAGCTCACTCTGTTGTTGTTGTCGTATCCTCAAATCTTGTAACTCAATTTTAACCCACTTCCCAATGTGCTATCGACTGCAAACTTGGTATACTTATGTCATACTGATGACAATACTATATTCTATCATTAAAATAAATAAAATATTTTTAAACTATCTTTTTTTCTATGTTATGTTTCGGCTTGGGTCTAATTGTCCACGGTCAACTGACGTTGGCTGTAAATCACCACGGTCCCTTACGTTATGGCAAGCTTCGGGGCCACTTCCTGGAGTTGTGGAGTTTTGCCATTACTCGTACGGTACATTTCATTAAAGCGTGTTTTTTAAAAAGTATTTTTAAATATTACTTATTCACGTGATAAGCCACTTCGTTGAGCTCTCGTTTGTGATAGATAGCCAGATCGCTTCTGAGAAAGAGCTGCACATCTCAGCGGGCCTTACCCTGGCTAAATAAATAAATAAAAATGTGACCTATTTCATCATAAGGAACGAAACGGTTAGACTTCTCCACAAATCTGGCTGATGAAGCGAGTTGTAATTACTGGCGAAACGTCGTACTCAGATTGTTAATTTTGTGGCTTGGCTCTCCAACACACCGGTTAGTGCTGTACTAGTGACGAATTGGCACGACATTCTGTTTACGTGACAACCCTTACTAGTTAGTCGTGTCGGGTGGTGGCGGGTTTTCACGACGCATTTATATATTTACGCGATCTAACCCGAGTAAAAACTCTACTATGGACTATTTCATCTTGGCAAGCGGTGGAAAACATCCCCACGTTTTTACCCCACCGCACACGTGACCTGCCCATCCATTCATCTGCGACGTTCCCATTTGACGCTGCTGGGTGGACGAGGGCTGTGGCGAGAGGGGGAAATCAAGAAACTTTGCTCCATTGTTTCAAACGCAGCCAGGAGGATCGATCCACTACGCGAACCATTACACGGCAGCAGCAGCAGCACCGCCCACTGCGCTCGTACGACGCGTTAATCCTCAAATTGTCTTTCTGTCAGTCTAGCTTATGATGGAAACGTTGAGTCAACACCACTGATCGCCCTGGGTGCAAATCCCTGGCTGTCAACCAAGATGAAAGTAGGCTTCTCGTTGTTTTTTTTATATTGCGAGCGAGTTTGATCCTCGTCCGAGCTTGATGGCCAGACATGAGGCCATCAACTCGCTGCACTTGAGCACCTGCGGTGACTGAAACCGAGGATGTGTGAGTCCTGTAATCGAATCTCGATTCCCAGGCCGTGCAGAATTCGTTACATCGCTGGGTGACGGCTGCATTGTTCAATTGCCCATCCGCATCACGCATCGATCCCGCTGGACCGCAATTAACTTTTAATCATTACACGCTTTCTATTAACTCACTGTCTGTTGTTGTTATCGTTGTTGTTGTATCATCAAATCTTGTAACTCAATTGTAACACACTTCCCAATGTGTTATCGACTGCAAACTTGGTATACTTATGTCGTACTGATGACAATACTATATTCTATCATAAAAAATTAAAGAAAAATATTTTTAAAAAATGTTTTTATATGTTATGTT